AGCAGCTGAATCATCCTCTCCAGGGGCAAGGCCTGGACATCTGCATTTCTAACTGGCATCCCAAGTGATTTTTGTGAGGACCACATGTGGGAAACACTGCTGATCTGCTTGAGTGGTTGATTTTTTCCTTCAGCCTCCATCTAATGAGGGAGGGTCTCTTTGCTCTCCCACCCTCTACTGTTCATGAACCATAGACATGTAGAGGAGAGGGAGAAGGCCCTTTCTTCGAAACCCCCAGGAGACAAATAATGTTGCCCAACCCTGCTTGCACTAGGGCGTGGTTCTGGCCCGATGTCATGAGGGTTTAGAAGCACCAAGCCTGGGGCACCTCTCCACAGTTCGGGGAGGAGAGGGCATATGTAGGGTTTTGGTCTATGTGCAGATGAAGCCCAGAAAGAACGCCCGCCCCAGCCTCATATGACCCACACCATGGGCAGCCCCTAGGCCCCACCCTGGCCCTGCCCTGGGCTCTGGCCCTCAGCCCAGCCCCAGCCCCCGCAGCAGCCTCAGTGCAGCCTGAGACCACAATTACAGGGGCCACTGGGGGTGGGGGAGCACCATGGCTGAAAGGCAGCTCTGAGAATGGTTCCAGCTGTGGCAGCTCTGGAGGAGGTTGCAGGGAAGGGAGTGCTGGGGTGGCACCAGGGTGAGAACAGGTGGGACCCTCAGTCCTGATGCTCTGCCAGAGAAGTTTGTCTTGGTGAAGAAGAGAGGGAAGGAGTCCCAGACTGATACGGGAGCTTGTTGTCCACTGGTCTAGGTCTCAGGGGCCACTACCCCTCAGCAAGGTAAGGGAGCATAGCTTGCTGCTTCAGCCTCCCAAACACCTGATTTGTTTCGTCATTGAAGGGAAGGGGAAATGTTTCTTGAGCTCTCAGCCTCCAGCTGATCCTGGCCCTTCCAGCCATCTCCCCACCCATCTTGCATTCAGGCTGTTCCTGATATGGTCGCTCACACATCTGGAGCATCTCAGTACTCTTCCCCCATCTCTTTGATTCCACATGTCCTCCATCCCTCAGCCAGCAGGAAGCTTTGGTGGCTCAGATTGTGCCTGGGGCTGAGCAATTGGGTCAGCAACGGGAGGTGGGGGGGGGGGCAGTGTATGATGGGATATTTTTGAGTTCTGCTTCCAGCCTCCTTCCCAGGCAGCAGTGCAAGAGCACAGAGCCCTCTCTGATCTTAAAGAGGACCAGGATAATGATTAAAATGGTGCCTATTGGGCCATTACTCTCACCCTTCACAGATAGCTGTTCCCAGACTCCTGCTAGGCTCAGTCACAGAAGATGGACCCCTAACAAGCGACTAGTACTTTAAAGATTGCAGTGTACTTTTACATGTACTAATAAGCTACCAGGCACCCCCACCCCATTTAATGATGGGAAAACTGAGGCTCAGAGAGATTAACTGATTTGATCAAGGTCGAGCTAGCAAACTAGGCCTTTCGTTCACTGTATCATGCTACTTCCTCTGAATTCCTTTTAACATGCTTGGGTTGGTATCAGTTCATGCCACTGCCTCAGTTTCCTTCTCTGGCACCATGGAGAAGAATGTCCAGTATCACTCACCCCATACACTCTCCACTCCCCCACTCCCCTGGACCTGGAAGTAAAGATGGGGAGGATCCCAGACAATCTGGAACCCTAGCAGCTTAACCTAAACTGTCTCTGGGTCTCCTTGCTTCCTTTCATCCTTTCTCCTGCCTACCATTCTGAGTTCCTTAAATGTCCTGCAGGTTCTGTTGGTCCCTTTTAATAGGGAAACTGGGCTCTGTGCACCCTCTGGTGGTTTCTGAAAGAAGTTCAGGATATTATTTTTAAAGTATTGTACCCATCAAAGAGCTCTGGGGAAGGCAGAGATGTGAATAAAAAACCTATCTGTAGGAAGCTTCATTTCACCTCTACATGGCCCACAACACCAGTTCCACTCTCTTCCCTTTGTAAGTTATTCAAGTCCGCTTGTACAAGAAGTTCTGAGTCCAAATTCTCCAGGACACTTCCCTGAAGCCCAGGCATTTGACCCGAGGGAGCCAGGAGAAGCAGGAAGGAAAACCCAGATGCTCCTTCCTTCCCACAGCAGCCTATACCCCCTTTCCATACATGCCACATGCTGGGGCCCGACCTGATCCTTGAGGTCTGAAGATGAGGATGGAGGGGCATTGAGGGGCAGGGGGGACAAATGCACTAGAAGCCATGGTTAGGGCCTGGCACATCCAGGATAAGTTCCCCTTCCTTCTGTTTCATTGAAAGAACTCTGCCATCCTCCCTGTGCCCCTATTCTCTGTGGTCTTGGTGGGGCTGTCAATCCCAGTCAAAGTAGTACATCTCCCTGGACATTGTTATGGCTTCAGGAATAGGCAAGAAACCCAAGCTGACCCAGTCAGGGTCTTCCTCAGGACTTCTGCTTAGAAGGCCATTCTTTTTCATATCACTAGCTCTAAGAATGTAGGCTGTCATTTAGAGAAAGTCAATCGGCAGTAGGCGAGAATGAGGATGGCATGAAAAGAGAGGCAGAGGTAAGCAGAAACAACAGATGTGGGGTGGAGGTGGGAAAAGAGACGTATGACCCTTTGGGCCCCTGGGTTCACTGTGCCTGAATTCAGTTTTACCCCTGGACTTCCAAGGTATAAGACCCATTAATTAACTTTCTTTGGACCAAGCTAGTTTTTTAAATATATGTCTTTATTGAGTTTTATAGAGAAAAGAGGGAGAGAGAGAGAGAGAGAGAAACATCGATGAGATGAGAGAGAAGCATCATTGATCGGCTGCCTTCTGCATGACCCTTACTGGGGATCAAGCCCAAAACCCAGGCATGTGCCTTGACCAGGAATAGAACCTGTGGCCTCTTGGTTCCTGGGTCAAAGCTCAACCACTGAGCCACACGGGCCAGGCTGGACCAAGCTAGTTTGAGTTGGGTATCTTTATTTTCAATCAGGGTCTGCCTAATACCTACAAAAAACAACAACAACCCAGCAGCTTTCTATTCCCATTCTTACAGTAACTACCATTTATTAAGCATACATTTAACATAAATTATTCTGTGCTAAGTGCTTTTCATAGTCCAAAGATATCCTCCCCACAATTCTATGAGGACGTGGGATGGGTTATAATGGTTGCAAATTCTTTGCCATGTTCCCATGGAGAGGTGGAGTCTATTTCTCCTCCCCTTGAATTTTGGCTGATTCTATGACTAGTGTCGACCAATAGAGAGTATCAGAGATGCTGTGCAACTTCCAAAGCTGGAACTAAAAGAAGAGACTGGCAGCTTCTGCCTCCCAGTTTGGCACAGTCTATTTCAAACGTCAGCCTATGTAAGAAGTCCCACTACACCGAGGCCACCATGCTATGAGGAAGCCCAAGCTAGACACATGGAGAGGAAGGCCACTGGAGAAGCTCTGAGGCACTAGACATATGAGTGAAGCCTCTTTGAGTGTCGTGTCCAGCCCAGCCCAGCCACCAGTGGAGTACAGCCAAGTGAATGACTACAGCCAATAAAGAGCAGAACAACCAAGCTGAGCTTTGACAAATTCCTGACCAAAAGGATCGTGAGAAGTAGTTTTGTTGGGGTTGTTTGTTATGCAGCAATGGATAACTGAAACAGGATGATAGTCCCAGTATATAAGTAAAGAAACTGAGACTCACATGATCTGTACTGTAAACTTCTAAGCAGCAGCACCAGCTTCAGACCCAAAGCTCTTGCTTTGCCCTACATACCTTGAAGGGGGCATGTACAGTATTTGGACTATGATAATATTGGGGGCTTTGAATCCTAGCCTTTTGGCTATTCCCTCCCCCATTCTCTCTGGAGGACGATGGGGGCATGAAGTTCAGCTCTGGAAAGCCCAAACCTTTCCTCTCTTCCCTCCACACTAACCGTCAGCTTCCTGAGAAAGAACTAGAAGGGAGGAAATGTAGTTGGGTGCCAGGAAAAACCTTGGAACAACTTTTCTTTGTCTCCCTCTAAGTGTAATTAGAAATGCTGTTCTGAGCAGTCTTTTCAGTGTTAATGGGGGTAAAGTTAGTTTCAAATGTTTAGTCTGATGTTAGTAATAACATATTTCATCACATTCTATAGTTCATAAAGTGCTTTAATCCTATGGGCTTGGGTGGTCCTAAAAGTCTACCCACAAATCCCCCAGGGATCACAGAAACAGAAGGGCAGATGAGGGTATCACACTCCCCTAGAATGTTGATGAGAGCTGAGTATACCAGTAGAGGCTTCCCGTCTGCTTTCCCCAAACCCTCTCAAGAGCCTGTTCCTTTAAAGAGGGATTGCTCCTTCTTCCCCGGCTTGTAGATCCAGGCCCTAGATGTGTGACAAGAGTGAACAAGAAGAATGCCAAGGGGAGATCTGGCACTCTTCACCATGGTTGCCAGGAGAGCCCAGACCCATGGGGGGGGGGCGGGGGGGAGAGAGGGACCCAGTTCTATCAAAACCATCTCCCTTTAGACACTCCTTCCGGAGCCTGGTCCCATGTCAACCCGCAGGAGACCAGCCCCCCTCCCAAACTGTGGTCCCAGTCCTATTGGTTTAAATATCTTTATTGATACTAAACTCACCCACCCAGCACATGGCCAGCAGTTCTGAGGACCCCGCATCCAGAGGCCTAGGTAAGTTTCCATCTGGGACCAAAAGAGGGAAACCGCGGAGCTCCCTACAGCGTATAGTCTCCCCAGAACCCGTTAAAGCACCTCTGGGATCCCTCCGCCGCACGGGCCTTCCTGGGCACGCGAATATCT